TAGATTTTTAATATAATATATTTATAAGGACTATTCGACATCAAGGCGTAGATTTATAAGGATTATTCGACATCAAGGCGTAGATTTTTAAAACAATATATTTATAAGGACTATTCGACATCAAGGCGTAGATTTTTAAAATAATATATTTATAAGGACAATTCGACATCAAGGCGTATATTTTTAAAATAATATATTTATAAGGACTATTTGACATTAAGGCGTAGATTTTTAAAATAATATATTTATAAGGACTATTCGACATCAAGGCGCATATTTTTAAAATAATATATTTATAAGGCGTAGATTTTTAAAATAATATATTTATAAGGACTATTCGACATCATGGCGCATATTTTTAAAATAATATATTTATAAGGCGTAGATTTTTAAAATAATATATTTATAAGGACTATTATATTTTTAAGACTCCCGGTGTTGCCTTTTAAATAAATATTTTTAAACAATTAATCGTTATCAAAAAATTAATTTCTTTTCAAAGACCAACAGTACAAAATTAATATCTTCCAATTAAAATAATTAAAAAAAAACCAGAGACCAGAATATATCTTACCTTTTTTCCAGAGAATAGAATATATTTGAGAGGGCCAATTTTTAATTACAAACATAACTCATAGCTGTCATAGCACCGAATCACTGACGTAAATAAATTTTGAAATCGTATTTTTTTTAATATTTTTTTCTTTTTATTTTCAAATTTTCACACAAATTTATTAAGGAAACCGAAAATGAAAAATCAAAACGACCTTCACAAATACAAAAACATTATTGCACAAAATGCGCGCGAACTCCACACACACAAATCGGATTAGACATCCCTTTTTGCACAAATCACAACAACAAAATCATTGCATATTCAACGACATTTAACAAACAGCAATTATGCAGGTCTCATCAATATTATTTCACGAAATAAACAATGGCCATTATAATTGTGACATTTTAAAGATATTATTTTATATAATTTCTTACTATTTTCATAAATTTTACACTTTTTCTTCACAAAATAACCGACAACACATTATAAGACAACCGACCGTTCGAACAACAACGAGCAAACTAATTGGAAGAGAGCGAAAGAGAAACTAATTAGGAAAAGAGATCATTGTTGTTGTGAAATAAGCCGGTGGCGCAGGAAAACAGAAATAGAAAAGGATAGATATATTGCAAATGATTTGCAAATAGAATATGCATTCGCCCTAGGGGCTATCAATTCAGTGTGAATTGCACACATGCCGGGAGAAGAGCAAGCAGAGTGTCAATATTTATTTATTTTGAACAGCTGTTTTGGTGTGCGGTGAAAAAGAAGTATTTGCTAACAAGAATTTATTGAATATTATTTACAAAACCGTAAGTATAAATTGTAATTGAAATTTAATTGATATTAAATATAACGAATTACATATTGCATGTAGTGGTGAAATATTTGCATAAGAAAATTGATGTTGGCGGCGTACTATTGTCTTACCGATCAGTGGTGTGAAAACTTATGTAGTGAATTGGAACATTTTTGGCAGTATGTAATATTTTCTTTCTGGAAATCCGGTAGAAATATGATTGTGGTTGAAATAAGATCAACAGTTTTAATGTGATCCATGGTTTTTTTTTAATCTTACTTTTTATTAGCAAAATCGTTTAGCTTATAGCTTTTACGAATTTCATCATATGCCTCACTCACGAGTCTTATATAAACAAAAACAATGCATACACCTGGAGACGACATTACTATGTAGGATATGTGCAACAACTATTACGCTTCTAAACCTTTACCATAAAGCCCAAACAGTAGATTTTTAATATTTATGTACTTCAAGGACTGTTGGAGTCCAAGGTGTAGATTTTTAAATTAATATTTTAAGGACCAACTGAGACCAAGGAGTAGGCGTATATTTTTGTGAATTTCAAAATGAGTATTTTTTAGAGACCATTAGAGCCCACGGTGTAGATTTTTAGAATAATATTTTGTTCCGGACTATTATAGTCCAAGGCGTAGATTTTTTTAATTAATATTTTTTCAAGGACCATTAAAGTCCAAGGCGTAGATTTTTAAATTAATATTTTTCCTAAACCAATAGAGTCCAAGGCGTAGATTTTTGAAATAATATTTTTCAGGGACTGATAGAGTCCAAGGCGTAGATTTTTAAAATAATATTTTTCAGGGACTGATAGAGTCCAAGGCGTAGATTTTTAAAGTAATATTTTTTCAGGGACTGATAGAGTCCAAGGCGTAGATTTTTAAAGTAATATTTTTTTAAAGACCATTACAGCAAAGGCGCAGAGTTTTAAATTAATATTTTTTAAAGACCATTACAGCAAAGGCGCAGAGTTTTAAATTAATATTTTTTAAAGACCATTAGAGCCCAAGGCGCAGATTTTTAAATTAATATTTTTAAAGACCATTATAGACTATTAGAGACCAAGGCGTAGTTTTTTCAAAGTATATTTTTGTATAACTATTAGAAACCAAGACGTAGATTTTTTATATTAATATATTTATTTTTGAGGGAATATTATAACTCAAGGTGTTTATTTTTAAATTAATATTTCCAGGGACTAATAGAGTCCAAGGTGTAGATTTTTAAATAGTATTAAAGCTATTAAGGCTGAGGACGTAGAACAATTTGTATCAAATTTACATGTTTTTCCACATATCCCTCTATATGGTAAAATTTGCACAAAAATTAAAATTTAAAGTTCGAAGACCGCCTGCCTATGCGCAGGCTTCATGGATTTCGCTATTGACGATCTCTTGACGTCCCATGGAATGACGTATTCGATGCTGTAGATATTCAGTTGTTTCACTCGGAAATTCGTATTAGGCACGGATTGATGACCAGGTGTTGAATGTCTGCCCAGCATGTGGTTCAGGGCCTCACACCACACTGCACTTATTCAATTGTCCTGCCAATCCTTCTCAACTTTTTCCAGAATATATATGCCTGCATCCTGTGGAAATAGCTGCATTTCTTAACATGGAAACAAGGCCAGAAACAGATTGAATCAAACAAGAATAATTTCATTTCCCGTATATATATTTATGTCCTGAACCCAACAAAGTTTAGCAATACAGCGTAGGACATGTAAAAGAACTCTACAATCATGAACCAGTTTTGCATTTATAATTTCCTACTTAATATTGACATATATAAAATCGTAGTCCTTCGTAATTCCTAATATTTGTATGATCTATTATTAGAAGACATTTACTCACAGTAAACACCAGCACGAGAACCTTCATCCAACTTCGAGCCATTTGTATATATTGTCAGACCAGACATTTGTTCAAGATTCTCAGCACGGAGTAATTACATTGAAATCATCCTGGTCGAGATAGGGGAGTATGTAGTCTCTAATGTGACTATAATTACCCAGAACATTTAAAATTGCAATCAAGTTAAAATCGCTAGAGTAGTGTCCTAAGATATTGTCTTCCACACTCATGTTTCTCCATGCTGTTTATAACTAGTTCCACTCAGATTTGGATATATTGGAAAACCAGAAGAGGTAGAGTGCCACTTGTTGGAGATACTCTGCTTCGATTGCTTATATTGAAATCCTCGAAGCCGCAATAAGGGTGGTATGTAGTCCCTAATTTGGACATATATACCCAGAATTAAAATATACAATATAGGACAAGATATTGGACAACCGCCCATATAGTTTTAGACATTTGTTTTATCTTATTTTCTAACCGTTTAGTAAGGGTCGTAATATCAGAATTATCAGTGGATAGCAAAACATATTTTTTATTCGTTTCCAAAATCCCTAACGATGTTTTTTCTTTGGGTGTAGATTTTTGAGATTTGGTCAGTTAAAATTCGGCGGATTGTTATGTTAATTTGAAAATTTTTAAGATCGAAACAAAATTTAACATGTGTTCATAGTAGAGATGGAAGTTTCCAAAATACTTTAATTTTTTCTGTTTTTATCGCGCTTTTTGTACTAAGCTAAGAACTTTCCGAATAATTTCAGTATTAAAAATTAAACTTTCATTATTAAAAAAACTTAAATTTGTATACAAACCATTTTAATATCCACTATGAGCACGAACAAAATCTAATCTAATATATTTTAGATGTATATTTAAATAAAAAATAATTTATCACAAGTTTTGTTATAAAAATGTTTTATCGAAAAAATTACACAAGTATCATAGAGACCTAGAATAATATATAGAATGGATTTTTCAACACAATGTCCACAAATCCATAAATTCGGTGGCTGTCTATAAAATAGATATACTTAAGATACTAAACTAAGTTTGATTGGTGTTGTTTTTGTTTTTCTTATTCTGTTTATAATTGACCCGAACATCTGTGATCTTCATATGGGTTCAATGTTTTTTAACGCCTGTAATATAAAAAAAGAAAATATTTATTTTTAAATAATCAATTTATCAGAAAAGTATTCCGATCACTTACGCTGATTGCAATACCGTCCATAATAGCCTTCCTTACATTTACATGTTTTATTCGGCATACACTCGCCATGTTTACATTTCCGTTTACAGTTAGTTCGGAGGCGTCGTCCAATTTCACAATGATTGCCACTGAGGCCCTCGGCACAGCGACATAAATTCGTGCCAATACAGCGACCACCATGCATGCAGGATATTTCACATTTAGCTGAACATAAAGAGAAAAATATTTGAAAATTCGTTCAAATTATTTACATTTAATTAAATTGTAATGTAACTCACAAATTTCACAGCGTAGCCCATAGTAACCTCGGCGACATTCGCATTTATCCTTTTGAACACATTTGCCACCATTCAAGCATTTTTGGGAGCAGATACCTAAAATACAACAATAAAACATAAATTATATTAAATTATATTCAAAATTCAGTAATTTTTAAATAAAGCGGGATATAGCTTTATTTAAAAATTACTGAATTTTGAAATATTACAAATTTAAATCTGCAGTAAGCTCGATATATATTAATTTCTTTAATAAAATTCTTTTTTTTTCAGAGTAAAAATGCTTAGCAACTTGAAACCCTTGCCCTCCTCCTATCGTAGCGTCAACTATGCCCTACGTTGCTATTCAGCCTCGTCGCCACCCAAACGTCCCACACAATTGACAGATGAAATCATACGTGTCGATCATGCTGGAGAACTAGGTGCTGATCGCATCTATGCTGGACAAATGGCCGTTTTGGGCAACGGTCCAATGGGCAAGACCATAGCCCATATGTGGGAACAAGAGAAGGGACATCGTCGTCAATTTGAAGAACTCATTAATAAACATCGGGTTCGGCCAACAGTTATGACACCAATATGGAATGTTGCTGGATTTTTGTTGGGAGCGGGTAAGTTGGATATAGAAATTCAAATCAGGGATATTAAAATTGAATATTTTGTTTTTGTATTTCTAGGTACTGCCTTAATGGGTGAAAAAGCCGCTATGGCATGTACTGTTGCTGTTGAAACCGTCATTGTGGAACATTATAATGAACAACTGAGGCAAATAATGGAGTCACCACAACCCGATAAGGTATGCATATTTCAGAATCCATGAATATGAAGTGGGAGATTTAAAACCCTTCAAATCGTAAATTTTGAAAAATATGTTAAGAATGCCGTCCCGAGGACTGCAACAGAGTGTCTCCTCGTGACTCCAATAGACCGTTTACTTTAGTAGACGAAGATTCATCCTGTTCATCAGCACAACAAGATATTGTAATGCATTATCTGGGGAGAGAGATGTTCAGAGGAACAAAAAAGAATCTGTACATCAACAGAGCTATCAAGCAGGATTGAGTCGTATTCACATTGATATAGTTGAGGAAACAATTCGAGAATATAGGCTGAAGTAGCCGCCTCCTTTGACAAGAATTTACAACAATATCTGTCCGGTTGAGTTACAGGATGCGCGGCTGTAAAAAAGGCAGCCGCTCAACTTGGCGACGTATTGTCTATTGTGATCATTCTAAAATTCGTTATAATTTTGCAGTTAGGGTACCAGTTATTGATAACTGAGAGCTTTAACAAGTTTTCAGGCTTTTTCGCCTCACGGATCAAGCTTCCATTGAATCTTAAGACAAAAACTCTTCTTGCCATCCTTAACCTTAACGTCTACAAACTTCAAGAACCAATTCTTTCCCCCTAACCCCAATGATAATCGATGCCAAAGTTTAACTGACATTCCTCTTCATCCTCCCAACCCCCATAAACGTGAGCCTGTTAGGGTACCAGTTATTGATAACTGGGAGCTTTAACAAGTTTTCAGGCTTTTTCGACTCACGGATCAAGCTTCCATTTAATCTTAAGACAAAAACTCTTCTTGCCATCCTTAACCTTTACGTCTACAAACTTCAAGAACCAATTCTTTCCCCCTAACCCCAATGATAATCGATGCCAAAGTTTAACTGACATTCCTCTTCATCCTCCCAACCCTCATAAACGTGAGCCTGGAGAGATAATTGACGAAAGTTGATATTACAGTTTTAGCCTTGAATGACGAGAATGAATAATACCAGTGTGGACAATACAATTATGATATATATAACTTAAGAGACTGCCGAGTAGTTTCGGGTCAAATCTGCTTTATTTGTCTAACATGAGCTTCCTATTGAAGGCAATGCCGTCTGATACTAGGGGATTTCAATGTTCACCATGTGTTGTGGCATTCCGCCCTAGGTAATGATCAGAGGGAAACAGTGCTGGCAGAGATAGCTCCACGTTCTGCACCTCCTCATAATCAGCAGACTGCCCGATTTCATCACCTCTGAACGCCGTACTTTCCTTAACCACTTTCCTCAACTGGCTAGGATTCAGTGAGTTCACCAACCAGGACTTCAGAGAACTTTCAATTATTTATGATGTACGGCTAGTAGAAAGGAAATTCCGGACATCATTGAAACTGATTTTCCAAATGAGGCTGAAATGTTCGAAATCTGGACTGCAAAGATAAGAATGCCATTGAATGTACAAGTCGAGGGGCATACAATTCCGACCACCAACTACGTAAACATTTTCGTTCAATCATCCGCTCAAACCCCTGCTATATTGATACGTTCCGACTTTTAATCCTCCTTCTTCCTTGTCATCCTCAACATTAATCACTGCAAACGCGGTATTCCATATAATGACCACAGGGAAACAGTATTGCGAGAGTGATAGCTCCAGGGTAAATGAGGTTGCCCCAACCAGAATGTGGACAATGTGTCACAATTCGCGTCAGACATAACCATTGTGTCTCCCCGTATGATAAATGATGTCAACTGGCAACCCTGCATTTCTCTTGACTCAGACCACTTATTCATAATCGTCGAACGCCGCACTTTCCTTAACCATAGAAAAGTCAACTGGCTAAGATTCAGAGAGTTCACCAACACCAGCAACTGCATCAACTAGATTTATACCTGCTAGTACAATAACCCAGATGAAACCTAATTTCCCAGCAGAGAGAGTTGTTCTAGCAAATGAACGTGGTGATAGGAATCGGTGTGAAATCTTCGAAATGTGGACTGCGGAGATGGGTATAATTACGACCACCAACAACTCAAAAATTTTCGGGGTCAAATTTGATACTATTTTCAAATTGTTTGCGATAAGCTGAAAGATAGGAACAAAGTTCTCAGGTCGCTTGCCGGCAGTACTTGGAGTAGGAAACCTTGTTGACCTCTTACAAAGCGATATGTCGGTCTATGACCAGCTATACAGTACCGGTGTGGTCCGGGAATACTAGTACTACGCAATGGATAAGTATTCAGACATGTCAGATCGCCGATCTGGGAACTGCAACAGGGTGCATTCTAATGACATCAGTGGATCATCTTCATGAGGTGACAAAATCCAACCCTTACGCCATATTGGCAATATGCTTTCGTTGTAGTACCTGCTTGGGTGCTTCAGGAACAATCATCCTAACCATCATATGGTAGATAAATCTCCCCACCCAGATCAATTTGTCTATCATTTATTTTGATGCAGTTGCCGCAGTGTTGAAGTAGCTGCATTTCTTAACTTGGAAACAAGACCAGAACCAGATTGAATCAAACAAGAAGTAAGATATACATATAAACCTGCTACAACAATAACAATGATAATTCGGGAGACTGTCCCCTACTCAAGGAGAATCATCAAAGATGGTAGGAGAACAATAATCTTGGTGGAGATAGAAAACCCAACTCCGAGGTGCCAAATGGCAAGCCGATGCTTCCAAAGCAAAACACCATGGAGGTGGATTTTAATGGTGATGATATTCCCATTGAAGTAATGGATGTTTCTTCGGAGCATTGAACCCCCAAATTTATGATTTCCAAAGAAGCTCCGATAAGAAGATATACCACAGAATGATAAACTTTTGTTCATCGAACGGGAAAGACATAGCATAGCGGACAAGGAAATCCTTTTAATCAAGAGGAATCTTAAGTGGCCCAAGTTAACCTCCCACTGAATAAGAAAACTCAGAGTGGACCAAGTACGACTGGGAAAATGGAGTCAGCAGTATTTAATCAATCACAATTCGTGTGCAGAAAGCAGCCGCAAAGAGGTAGACGCGTCGACGAAGACCCCTTCAAAAAGTGACAATGTGAATGAGGAAGCCTAAACTTCTACCTCTATGCAGAGGTCCCAGAAGTCGACGCTGCTATTCAGTCAGTGGTTTCCGACGGATTACAATCATTGTCATTGGTCTCATAATCTTTACTTTTTTAATATTTAAAAATCCAATTCAAATCCAAAATTATTTTCAAATTACATATAGAAAATCCAAAAAATGATAGAAAATTCAATAATATCTATTTTCTAACGATTTTGTACTCATTTCAGGAACTCCTCGCAACAATTACAAAATTCCGTGATGAGGAACAAGAACATCATGATACTGGTATAGATTGTGGCGCTGAGCAGGCACCGTTCTACAAGGCAATGACCGAAGTTATTAAGGTGGGATGTAAGACAGCCATTGCAATATCGAAAAAGATCTAATCATCATCATCAGTATACTACGAATGTTGTTATTGTAAATATGTCCTAATTTTCAAACATTTTGATATAATCTTCTTTTAAATTTAAGTTTTACAATTGAAAAAATATATAACCTCCCAATTGAGGCTTGGAAACTATACAATTTGAGCTTAATTTCAACCTCGAGCTTAATTTAAACGTCGAAACAAACAAAAATTGATACTTACCCCCTTCACACTGTGTTCCTTGATAACCATCCGGGCATGTGCATACCGATGGCGCTGTACAATTACCACCATTCATACACTGGGGAAAACAGAAAGCCTTCTCACAATACTGACCAATATAACCGGAATGACATTGACAAATATTGCGATGATTGCAGAAACCATGTTCACCACACTTCAGATGACACTCGGGATCAGGACCTTTGGATAAATTAATTGAAGGAAAGTAGGAAATTAGCAAATTTTGTTTAATTGTTTGTCATGGTACACATCCACAACGGATGTATGTATATGACAGACAAATTTTGGAATGGAGAATGGAGAGGATGGATTTTTTTTTTGTCAAAGGGAAATAACAAAAATTGCTGTTAAATGGGGGACAGTGCGTAGGATGATTTTTGATTTTAATTTATTATATTGTGTAGGCTTTTTGAATATTTTTAATTGCAATGCTCTAGTGGGTCAATTAAATATGGCTGTGCTAAAATATGAGATAAGTAAATTAGTTCAAATGAAATTGAATTCAATGAATTACGATAAGCATATGCATAATTTGATACTTATCTGCCTTAGCCTCTTCTACGAAATACTGGATTTATGGCACAGAAGATATGATGATAATTATGTGAGTGCGGAGTTATTGAAATAAGAAGAGATTCCAACTGAAAACGACGCCATCAATATTGGATAAGGTAAATAAAGTTAACTAAATACAATTTACAGATATTTAAATATTTATTTTTTAGCTACGATAACAAGCTGGATAATTATTCCGAAATAAGAAACTGACATGAAATGACAAGAGAAGCTTTTATCAAATATAAAAAAACAAAATTACGAACCATGACATAGAAAGCCAAGCTGCGATTTATCAAAGCATACGTATGATCAGTTCTGTTGCACGCTGTAGATGTAATATTGAAATATGGACTTACATGTCCGTACTTCGTATCAAACAATGAAGTACTACGAAAAATAGACCAAGATAAGGAAATAATTAAGGTAATAAAAAAAACGAAAAACTACATATCTTAGCCACATCATGCAACACGATAAGTACAGACTACTTAGATAGAAGATTTGACCGGTATTTGAGGTGTTAACAACCTTCTAATCGAAAACAGAATTTTCAATTTGGGTATGAGGGTGTCGGTCCATGAAACAATATAACGACATTGCCGAAATTTGCTACCAACTTTAGTCAATATCGAACCCAACTATAACTTGCGGATAGTGGGAAAACTAATATATTTATTACCTAAGTGCGAATTTAATAAGGATTCGCGGACAGTCAACGGTTCTAAGTAGAGTGCCTCGAAGCAAATGACATAGTGCCTAACGCTGGCTGAGGTGTTATGCGACCTCATTATGTCATGTTAAGTAAAAAAACCTTTTGCAAAGACCTTTAAATTAAACTCGCAAACAACTTTGTCGACTCGATGATACATAGCACCTCATTTACATTTAACGATGAAGCTGTGATTGATCCGGAGAGATGCGCAAGTTATTTTAACCACAAGTTTGTCGATCATCCCAAATGCAAGAGGGCGAAGGCAGGAGCACTACGTCGTATAAGATTTCTTTCCGTTGAGGAGGTACCAGCACAGTTTACAATGGGAGATTTTGCATGCGTCATCCGTAATGTTAAATCATCTAAAACGTTGACGGAATGTTTCCGTGTTTATGCTGAAACAGAGTTTAGTATCTGACCAAAATTCCCAAATTGTTGATAGCCACCTACATCGCTCCCGAAGTCTGGGCAATGGGGAGGGTAGTCCCGCTCTGAAACCATGCAAAGATGACAGCAAAGGATATGTTTAACATTTACCTTTCCGGTATGCAGATGATTTTACGATCATTCCTATCGGGGGAGAGATATCTCCGGAACTGTTTAACCCTTACGTTTCCGGTATTCCACGCCCAAGCGGCATGTGTAAGGTTCAATGTATATCTCGCCGATTTAGAAGCCTTCCTACTCGCGAGGAATATGAAAATAAGAGCCACGAAATCTTCTGCCATATTTTTTACCACATAAACTGCGGAGACGAGAATGCATGCCCATGTCGAGGGACATACAAATTCGACAACAAACGACCATCGGGGTCACATTCCATGTTCAAATCGTCCTCACAAATCACAGCTATCTACCATAAGTTGAAAAGTAGGAACATGGTCCGCAAGTCGGTTGCCGGCAGTACTGTCATAACGCGGCCCTGAGAACTGCAATAGGTTGTCTCCTCAGAACACTAGTGGACCATCTTCATGCGGAGATGAAGATCCTTGCCAAGTGGTAAGCCTTCACACGAACGAAAGAGACTGATTATGAGATTCCGTTTGACTGAAGAGGTAGACCACCAAAGTCGATGATTTGGAAAATCTGACAAGTGCAATAAATGACCTTGAACCCTTTTGGGAAAATTGTAAACTGTTAGTGCTAAACTTTGTGAGATTTCGTGCAAGACGGTGACCTCTATATGATTTCTTCACTCTTTTGAAAATGGATATAATACCGTGTTAACAAAACACTTCAGTGCAATTGGGGAAGAGTAGACCCCTCTGTCGCGGAAACGTTCTATCCATTGTGGTCTTTGGTGAAATGGAAATGCGTGGATGGAAGTCTAAACTGATGAGCGCATCTGGCTAAAAAATCCACTGCAACGACGATAAGGATACTTTTTTGAGCAACCAGATTTGTAGGCTCAGACGGACAATTAAGTAGATTAAGCGAGGGCTTTGCTGGTAGACGCCTATTTAGGATTCCGGGGATAATGCAATCTCGATACGTATCTTAGTTGTGTCTGAATCAAGCGGGTTTGTCTAGGAAGAAGCCTCTCACTGTCCGAAACTGCAGGAGTATTTTGAAGTAGTACTTTTTTGTATCCACATGTTGATGCACGGATTTCATCGCGTTAGCTATCGACGATCTGTTGACGTCCGATGGAATGATGTCTTGGATGTCTTCACGATAGCGTCTGAAGTATTTACGGATGTGACGCGGATCTGTCATCACTGGGTGATGGTTGCGATAACACGGCAGATAGCATGTCAGCAGTAAAAGTCTAGTCAACAACACATTATGATGATAGATCCTGGTCTCCTAATGGAGTTGATCGACGCTTTTCATCTGTACACACCCGGACTGCAATTCGGAGTGTATTTTTTGAGTAGTTTGCAAGGATTTTCATTGTGTGTCACTGAGGAATGGAATCCAGACTGGGGCAACATAATTAAGGATGGACCGATGACCTTGTATTTCGTTACCAATGTTTGTTTATCCATGCCCCAGAAGGTGCTAGCCAAAACTTTCAGAACTTGAAAGCTGCCACCTTCTGTCTGACATAATTGAAATGCGAGAAGAAATGAAGGGGGCTATCGAAGACCGACCACCCCATTTTCGTAGGTATTAAATAGAATAAGAATAAGGAAATAGGAACAGAGTGTCCGAAATTCACCTTAGAGAATAAACAAGTCTGTTAAACCAAGGACCATTATTGGGAGGAGGAGGATTGGAAGGGGATGCAAAGGATTATGAGCATACACTACCTTGGAGAGAGGTGTTTTGTGTGGGATTTGTCGTGTCGGGGTTGTCATACACACCTCTATGTGCACACTCCTTTTTGAAATGCAAACGGATGGGAGTACCGGGCAGCGTAACATTATTACCATTGTGTATGGTGAGACCAACATTGAACATGGCCGTGCCAGAATTATTGCCACTGCAAGGTAGGAAAACGCTGAAATCTTTGGGAAAATTACAACAAATAAAAGTCAATCAATCATTAGAGAATATCCTCATCGACTTACTCTTTTCCTCTTTGGGTATGCGACCCTTGATTTTAATCGAAACCGTGGGCGCCTTCAAAATATTCTCATCCATCGATTCCAGCAAATCGAAATGATAGAAATATTTCGCCGGTCCCGATTTCCAGGTAAAGTTCACATGATTCACCTCGGGCGGTATGATGAGATACTCGTAAATTCGCCCATCCCGTATATCGTTCATCACATGACCATTGTGTATGGCATAGACCCGATCTTGGATATAACCTTGAGGAAAGAATAGAGCTAAGAAAACAACATGTTTTTTAGAATAAATTTAGCACTTTGTTCGTTTCTTCATTTGTGCCATGGCCATACTTTACCCGTTAACATTTTCAGCTGCTGTTCATTGATCCACAGCGAGAGGTTGTCTTTGGGCGAATTCGAGCGATTGCGTTTACGATGACGATGTTTTCGTTGATGTTCGGGACGGTTTTCATTTAGACGATTACGTCGCTTGTTGCCATGACCATGGCCACCACCACGACCACGATCACCACCATTATCTATACCAAGACCACCATCACCATCGTCCATGCCATTCGGTCCAAATGCATTTCGATGACTAACATTGTCACGATTTCTGTTATTCTTCTTGTGTGGATAAACTTCATAGGGTGAGCTACTGTCAATATTTTTTACTCTCCTTCCGGCAGCTCCTCCTCCAACATCAACTCCACTGCGTCTTCTGTGGTGTCCAGCTTCGTTTATTTGTTTGTCGCCGTGTTGTTGTTGTCTCGCCTCTATGCCATCAATCCACAAACAGTGCATCAATATTAGCATTAGATAAACAAACCATACGGCCGAGGCGGACATTGTCACAAAGTCTTTAGATTTGTTATTGGATCTTCGCATTGCTGTTGCTGCTGCCTTCATCATCTAAATCTGCAAAGCAAAAATGGAGTGCGAATTAAATTTCACATCGATAAATAAGGAATACAATATTATTTATATTTAGATGAATGCTGGAGTTATTGTTGTTTTTATGGACTGCTTCAATTCAAAGAAGTTACACACATACATTGGGATGTGGTTGTGTAAACATTTGAGAATTTCTAATTAAAGTTG